CTGGATTAGCTTTTTAGATGGTTATCATAACCGCACTTTTTAATGTACCAAAAATATTTCCTAAAGATTTAGAATAAAAAAAAAACTTAAAAGAAAATACTTATTTTTTAAAATACTAATTACATCATATATCTTTAGAAAAAAAAGAATCTGTTAAAAGTTTTAAATTAAAAACTGTAGCCTATTGTTTTTTAGGCAAATAACAAACTCTCCAGCACGTTTATCAGACAGACTTCGGCCAATTAAATGACATAAAATTATATAAAAAAATATATATAATAATAATCATAAAAATAATGATAATGTAGAGCTTCATGATTTTTGTTGCCTCTCTTGTAAAAACGTTTATTTGAAAATACATGGATAACAACAATAGCCAAATTATTCAAATTCATTTTAATATGGGCCGCTTTTGGTGCTTCGCCCCTTTTTATTGGTCATTTTGTTTCAAAAATAAGATCCAAGATTTAGAAAAATGTTACTTGTAAAATGTTTTCTCTATTTAAAGAGAAAACAGTATGCTTTCAGTATGCTTTCTTGCACAGCTGGATGTTGGACTCATGAAAAACAATCGTTTGCATTGAACTAAACTGATTAGCTGAAGTCACACTGAAGCAACAGCCAACAGAGGGTTCCACATGGTCTTAAAGTTTCAATTAATTATTTTTACTATTTATGATGGCATAGCAGTCAAAATATGACAAATAAGCTCATGTATGGGACAATCTCTGCACCTTTGTCAGTTAGGGGTGGGTATTTCAAACCACCCAAACCCCCCCCGGCTACGGGCCTGGATGTATGGTTTGTATAGGACAATATTTGACCAAGATGAATCTGAGGGTTCGAAAAAAATCTAAATCATCTTTCAAGTTTAGTTAACATGAAGTTCAATGCATATTACCAAATTCTCAGTGTATATACAGCTGAAATCAGAATTATTAGCCCCCCTTTGAATAAAAAAAAAAAATCCAAATGATGTTTAACAAAGCTAGGAAATTTTCACAGTAAGTCTGATCATATTTTTTTCTCTGGAGAAAGTCTTAATTGTTTAATTTTGGCTAGAATAAAAGCAACTTTACATAAAAAAAATAATAAAAAACATTTTAAGGTCAAAATAATTAGCCCCTTTTATCAGTTTTTTTGATAGTCTACAGAACAAACCATGTTATATAAAAACATAATGCCTAATTACCCTAATCTGCCTAGTTAACCTAATTAACCAAGTTAAGCCTTTAAATGTCATGAAATGTGTTGAAAAATATCTGCTCTCTAAAAAATCTGGGGCTAATAATTCTGACTTTAACTGTATATTAAAAGTAGACCATTTATACTATATTTTCACAGAACAGGATTTTTACTTAATATTATAATAACCACAATTTATTTTTAGCTGTTGCCAAAAAAAAAAAAAAATATATATATATATGGAATGTTTTTTAATTTTTTTAATCTTTTTTTTTTCAAGTAAAAAGCTTCTTTTTTCTGGTCAAAAAAATATTCCTTTGTTGTGATGGAAATTCAGTCTTTTCTGTCAAATATATTTCTTATTTTATCAGAATTTAAAACAAAAAAGATTTATGGTTTTATAGTCTGTTATATTTTTAGTAAGATTGTGTCGTTGACAATGCTTCTTTTAACTTTTCCCTAAATTAAAGTTACTAACTAAGTATCTAACTTTTTGTATTTCCATCTGATTTCCATGTACTTTGACTTACAGTAAGCCTTTTAATTTTGATTTCGTTCATACTGTAGCTTATAACACATTAAAGGGGACCTATTATGCTCCTTTTTACGAGCTGTAAAATAAGTCTCTGATGCCTCTAGAGTGTGTATGTGAAGTTTCAGTGCAATTACCCCACAAATAATGTTTTATAACTCTTTGAATCTGCCTCTTTTAGGCTATGATCCTTATTGTGCTGCTTTGATGACTTTCGCTTTAAATTCAAATGAGATTGTGCTCCGTTCAAACAAGGGCAGAGCTACAAATGCCTGCGTGTCAGCATAGTGGCAGATTCAAAAACAAGACTAATGTCCTATGCTAATGAGGGAAAGAGGGGGGGGGGGGGGGGGGGGGGCTTTTCCTCTCTGAGGACATGTACAAAGGGGCAATGTCAATCTAAGTATTTCTGCAGACTAAGGCCATCCGTCCACACTACGCTGGAGTTCTCGAGCGCCGAAAACGGAGCTTTTTGAAAACGCTGGAGAGGCCGTTTTCATTCTAAAACGCTGCTGCTCCGTCTCAGTGTGGATGGGGAAAGACGGAGACATCTGAAAACGGAGGCCTATCTGATTGGGGCTTTTCCTCAATATTAAGTAGCCTAACACACACAGTTCAGTCTCGCATCCTCTTCTTGTAAGTTAAGACTTCGCAAGTTTGATCAAGGCTGCAGTCTCCCCCTTTTCAGTTTGATATGGAAAACATACCGAGGACACGGGTAAATCTTCAAAGGGAACAGTGTACTTTATAAATTCATTCACATCACCTTGGCTACGTTGTTTCACTTTCTCAACAATAAAATGTAAACATGATTTAAGGAACTGCCTATTTTCTTTTTAATATTAGCAACTTAACAGACAGCAGAAATGTTGAGACGTCGTGCTGCATATATGAGCGTCATCTTCACTGTGTGGATATTTATAACAAAACAGAGCCGATAACAACTGCCTCCTTTCAATTTCAGTGAAAATACGAAACACACCCTCTCTTTTGCTGAATATCAGTTTTAATAATCGATAATTATAAAAGTATAACATACAATAAGTTTATACATTGTAGGAAATAAAGGCAAGCGATCAGTCATTGTACCTGGATTAATCATTAACTTATCTTTGCGCTTAACCAAAACATGTTACCCGTAAACAAGTAACTTAATAGATTCCAATGACCAAAGTCAGGGAATTTGCCTATGTCGTTAGATAAAGACAACAACATGAATGAAATATCACGTTTAGCAAATATAGTAAGATTAGATCCAGCGGGAGATGCTTAATGAGCAGTCCGACAAGCAGAGCTCTCATCTGGGTAGAAATGCTGGAGCGCTTGCCCGAGTGTCTGTGTGGTCACGTGATGTGCGTTTTCAGCGTTTTGGTGTAGACGGAGAGCTGTTCAGAAACGCTGGGTAAAACGCGAGTGTGGACGCGGATCGTTTTCATTCTACAACGCCGTTTTAAAACTAAAACGCAATAGTGTAAACGGGGCCTAAAATGACAAATGTTTTACTAATAGAAGCTTATATTCATAAGAAGGTTATATTCACACACAGTTGCCACACAACTGTGTTTAACCTCCCTATAAAAGTGTTTTTTTTTTTTTTTTTTTTTTGCACAATAGGTCCTCTTTAACAAAAATACTTCTAAAACCAGCACTGCTGAATTTCAAATAAAGCACAGCATCTCCGTATTGCTTAATGAAGGAATGATCCTGTGATTTTTATGACTTGTGACTTTTTTTAATGATTCATATCATGATCTGTTTCTTTACATTTGTTTCGCAGAGTTTATAAGACACTGTGTAAACTCCTTTTTGAAGGTCTGCACCAGATGGGTAAAGCACATACTGGAGACAGAACTTTTACGTATGAAGAACTTTCAGCAGATTAATATTATTGTATTACTGTTTTCTTCATTTTACAACTGCAAACATCTGATGTTGCTGAAAATAGTTTTAGTGAAAAACCTTGACTGCATGACTGATTAACATGGATCTGATTTTCTTTCAGACAATATGGTTTTTTTAAAGGGATCTTCAATAAAAAGACAACAGAGGAGCTTTGGAAGTAAGGCTTTTTTTCATCTGAGTTTTCTAAATGATCAAAAGTATTGAAATAATTTAAAGATATGTCAAATGCACCATCATGCCAAGTTTAACTTGTCATTTTTGATTTATTACAATTACTGACTGAAACCTAGTTCATCAGTGTCGTTTAATGCAGGTATGTGGAGTTCCACTTCCTTCCTGGAGCTCCGCCAGTCTACAGCAATCCAATGGGTTTCTTCAGTCACATTGTTTCCAAGATGTATGACCTTATGCTTACCATGTTTCTTTCGCTTTATGTAATAATAAAATAATAGAATTGAAGTCCTAAAATAATAGTTCACCCAAAATATGAAAATTCTGTCATCATTTACTCAACCTTCAGTTGTCGCAAACGTGTTCCTTTTCTGTCTGTTGAACACAAAAGAAGTTTGAAGAATGTTGGAAACCCCTAACCATTGACTTCCACAGTGTTCAATTTTCCTACTATGGAAGTCAATGGTTACAAATTTCTTGGGGACATTTTTTTGTGTGTGTTCAGTAGAGGAAAGGAACTCATAAAGAGGGGGAGTAAATAGGGAGTAAAGTAAAATTTTTTGGGTAAACTATCTTTTTGAGGTGCTTTTATGTCATATATTATAAGTTATGTTTTGTTTTGTTGTTAGTCAGAAACTAAATAATAATAATATAATATTAACATATATATATATGTATAGGGCAAAGCGGTGGCGCAGAAGTTAGTGCTGTCGCCTCACAGAAAGAAGGTCGCTGGGTCGCTGGTTCGAGCCTCGGCTCAGCTGGCGTTTCTGTGTAGAGTTTGCATGTTCTCCCTGCGTTCGCGTGGGTTTACTCCGGGTGCTCCGGTTTCCCCCATAGTCCAAAGACAGAGGCTAAATTGTCGGTAGTGTATGAGTGTGTGTGTGTGGATGTTTCCTAAAGATGGGTTGCGGCTGGAAGGGCATCCACTTCCCTATTTTATATATATATATATATATATATGCGGATAAAAAAAGCATTTTAGTTGAAGCAGCTGTCAGTTGATTACTTTAGTTGTCAGTAGCAACTAAAGTAATCCATAATTTAAAAGAAAACAAAACTAATTACTTTATAAATTAAGTTATATGTTATCAAATGAAATAACACAGAGGAAAAGTACTAAACACATGAAGAAAGGAAGGTGTAAAAAAAAGCATTGAAAGAGCAGACAGCATCTGAAATCTCTCAGTAGTTTAGTAGCAGCCCTGCCTCTTGTCAATGTAAATGAATACTAGCCACTTCAGTCTCAACACCTTAACAGGTGATCAGGGTGGACATTTCAGCAAGACAATAGTCCCTTTCACACAGTGATACCGGTAAATATCCGGAAAATTTCCGGAACGACTTTACCGGTAAATTCAAAAAAGCGCTGTTCACACAGGCGAGGACGTTACGGAAATTTTCCGGAAAAGAGCATTCACACATCCATTCCAAAATACCGGTAAATTCTGACATCATTCACCACAAATGAGCTTTAAACGGCTGCGCTTGTGTTTGTAAACATTTGACTAAATTACAAACTTACAACTTTCGCAGGATCACTTTCGCATGTCGAGATGTTCATAATATGTGCGTGTGCCGGCGCTCACAGGCTGTTTCACAGGCACACGCAAAGCTTGAAGGTAAACAAACAACGGCTTATCATAAGCATCTCATCGATGATTATTTACACAGTTGGCATTAAGAAGAACATATAAACGTAATCTGACTAACTTCTAGCAGCTAAATGTGTCTGGAAAAATATTCAAAGGCTTTTATTCTCACAAAGCGCGCGGACGTAAATGCGTCTGACTGTTGTGATTGGCTAAAGCAGACGTCTCACGTCAGCACGTTCTAGACGTGCACGCGCTTATTACGGCAATCTTCCTTCTGCATTCACACAGCGCAGCATTCCGGCAAATTGCCGGTAATGTTACAACTTCTCTTTCCGGAAAATAGCCAGAACGAATTTACCGGTATTTTCAAAAAGGACCTGTTCACACATACAACAAAGGTCTGTATGTGTGAAAGGGGCTAATGATCCCAAACACAGTTAAGAAAAGAAAATAAAGCTGCTAGAATGGCCCAGCTAATCTCCTGACCTGAATCCAATAGGAAATAAGAACTAAAGATTCAGAGTTCAAAGTTCAGAGACCCACAGCATTGTCAAGATTTATAGACTCTATTGACACCTGTGCAATGTTTGCAGCTTCATTCTCCATATAAAAGGCATCTTGAAAGTTTCATCTTGGTCATTATATAAAAAAGCATTTTATACATTGTATTAAATACATTTCAGAAGTTCAGTACCTTCTCTTTGTGTCATTTCAATGTTATTACGCATAACTTGTTCATCTGATTTTTAATTTTTTTTTTGGTTTGCCAAATTGTCAATTTCATGTTAACACCTCCTAGAAATACATTTATCTGTAAAAATCACGACACATTTAAGGCTTATTTTACCCACTGCTATGTATTTCAAAGGTGAAGATATTTATATGTTAGCATTAACAATTCATTTTTTCATGTTTTCTTTGTTGTGCCATCTAACAGACTGGCTCGACCCCGAGTGATTGAAATTATAAAAGTTGCCGGGAATATTGTGAATGACATCAACGAACATCTCCAGAGGTAGGATCCATTTCGTTTTACTTATTGCTTTACTGCAGTACACAAAAGCAATGATACATCTTGGAGTTATGTGGTTTCTTTAAAGCAAATGTTCAAAATACACTCATATGACGTGTACTATGTTGATGATATGTAGTTTTTTTTATAATAACACCATTTAATCTGAATATTTTTAGATTTGAGAGGGCATACGAGCAGTTTATTATAAAGGTCGGGGACATTATCACTCAAGAGAAGGAGAAAGAAAATGATGAGTTTCTAATAACACTGAGGTAAGGATATTTACTATCTTTTTATTTTATTTTACCTACTGTATGTATGCTGTAAAAAAAAAAAACAGCCATAAAGTAGGATTTTACTGTATTTTGTAATTCATGTTTTTATTTTTCTTCTTTTATTTGTGCTTTTGAATTGCATAACTGGACCTTTATCTTTTTCCCAACAACTTATAACCATGAAAAGTTTGAAAAAGGGACTTTTATTAACGTTTTTAATAGTTTAAAATGATATATCGTCTGGGTTGGTGTTGTATATTATGGTACAAAAAACTTGTAATATAATGTGCCTGTTATTTGACAGACTTATTTCTCTCTATAATATTTTTTAAACATTATATTATTTCAAACTCCTAAAATGTCAATAAACATGACTTTGTTAGTCAACAGAGCAGGGATCAAAGGTCCTAATGCAATTCACAACCGTAAATAAATGGGAAAAATGTTTTAATCACAAAATATGGAAACTGTTGATTAACAGATATCATTTAACAGTGTAACAAATGTCAGCTTTTATCCAAGAAAAAAAAACTCCTCTGCTTTTATAAGCTGTCAGTGATAAAAAAAATAAATAAACCAATTACAGTAAATCAAATATACAAATCAAAGGAACAATGCTTTAAAACTTTCAGGTAGATCTTACAAAGGAAACAAATGCTATAGAAACTGAATAAAGAAATAAACTACTTGTAAAAACATACTTTTAAAGTTTGCATATACAGTGCATGTGGAAAGTACTCATAGCGCTTCACTTTTACCACATTTTTTTATGTTATAACCTTATTCCAAAATAGATTAAATTAACTTATTACCTCAATATTCTACACACAATACCCCATACTGACAATGTGAAAAAAAGATTTTTTTAAATTGTTGCAAATTTAATAAAAATAAAAACCTTGAAAAATCACATGTATTTAAGTATTCACAGCCTTTGTCGTGAAGCTCTAAATTGAGCTCAAGTACATTCTATCTCCACTGATCATTCTTGAGATGTTTTAGCAGCTTAATAGGAGTTCAATTAAGCTGTGGTAAATTCAGTGGTAACTTCAGTTTATTGGACATGATTTGAAAAGGCATACACCTGTTTATATAAGGGCCCAGGGTTGACAGTGCATGTCAAAGCACAAACCAAGTATGAAGACAACGGAATTGTCTGTAGAGCTCTGAGACAGGATTTTCTCGAGGCACAAGTCTGGAGAAGGCCACAGAAAAAAATTCTGCTGCTCTGAAATGAGCACCATGGCCTCCATCATCTATAAGTAGAAGATGTTTGAAACCACCAGGACTCTTCCTAGAGCTGGCCGGCCATCTAAGCTGAGTGATCAGGAGAGAAGGGCCTTAGTCAGGGAGATGATCAATAACCCGATGGTCACTCAGTCTGAGCTCCAGCATTCTTCTGTGGAGAGAGGAGAACCTTACAGAAGGACAACTGTCTGTGCAGCAATCCACTAAACAGGCCTGTATGGTAGAGTGGCCAGATGGAAGCCACCCCACGCCTGTAGTTATCCAAAAAGCATCTGAAGAACTCTCAGACCATAACAAACAAAATTCCCTGGTCTGATGAGACTAAAATTAAACTCTCTGGAGTGAATGCCAGGCGTTATGTTTGGAGAAAACCAGGCACCGCTCATCACCAGGCTGATACTATCCCTAAAGTTGAAGCATAGAGGTGGCAGCATTAAGCTGTGTGGATGTTTTTCAGCAGCAGGAACTGGAAGACTAGTCAGGATAGAGGGAAAGATGAATGCAGCAATGTACAGAGACATCCTGAATGAAAACCTGCTTCAGAGTGCTCTTGACCTTAGACTGGGGTGACGGTTCATCTTCCAGCAGGACAATGACCCAAAACACACCGCCATAAATATCATTGGAGTGGCTTCACAACAACTCAGTGAATGTCCTTGTGCAGCCCTGCCAGAGCCCAGACCTAAATCCTATTAAACATGTCTGGAGAGATCTGAAAATGGCTGTACACTGTCGCTTCCCATCCAACCTGATAGAGCTTGAGAGGTAGTGCAAAGATGCCAAGCTTGTGGCATCATATTCAAAAAGACTTGAGGCTGTAGTTGCTGCCAAATGTGCATCAACAAAGTATTAAGCAAAGGCTGTGAATACTTATGTACATGTAATTTTTCAGTTTTTTATTTTGAATAAATTTGCAACAATTTGAAAAAATACTTTTTTCATTACTTTCATTTCATTACTTTTGACATAATCATTATGGGATATTGTGTGTAGAATTTTGAGATTAATTCATTTTGGAATAAGCTGTAACAAAAAATAAATAAATGTGGAAAAAGTAAAGCGCTATGAATACTTTCCGCATGAAACAATAATTCTAATAAAATCTATAAATCAAATGCAAACTCGTCTGATACAATGACCTTAATCTCTGAAACAAAAAACATCTGAGAAACATTTGCCAACATTCTTCAAAATATTATTTCTATTACACGAGAGCAAAATGATGGCAATATTTTAGTTTTAAGCTTTAATCCAAATAAACAACATGCTTTTTACAGTTTTATGTGTGCTTTTTATATCCACAGAACACTGTCGCGACTGTTTGTGGATTGCTGGGATAATGTTTTAGAATACACTGAAAGTCAGGAGTTTCACAACAAGTACACACATTCCTTAGAGTAAGACTGTCAATATATCTTATGTGGAACAGTTTTAAATAAAAACAAAACTAATAATATATAATCTACAAAAAATACAATAAACTGAGTTTTGTGATGTTTATGTTGCAGAAGATGGAATGAGCTAAGAGCTCTGAAAGACAATGGAAAACGTCACAAGCTTTTTGACAGTGAGACTGGACGAAATGTCTGGACGTAAGTAAAGCATCGCTTTTTGTCTTTTCATTCTAGTTGGTACATTTTTACAACAGTTTGTTGCCTGTGAAAAATAACACATTAAGTACCCTGTTTTTTTTTTGTTATTATATTTTTGTATTGTATTGTATAAGTAGTTAGCATTTAATCTATAAACTAACCAAGTTTAAGTAATAAACTAATGATGTATGTGGTAATGGGGTGGGAAAATAATAAGCTTATGCTTCATACAGCTTCATTTTCGACCATGTTTAAATGTGTTTTTTTGTTAATGATATTTTATGTATGTTTTTGTTCGAAAATAAATAAATCAAATCAAAATCAAATCAAATAAAAAAAAAAAACTCACATTAACTGATTTTCAGCCAAACTTGTGTTCCATCCAGTTTCCATCAAAAAATGTGAATTAACTTTATGCATAAAACTGGATTATCGCATAAAAGCGTGTGAATAAAGTAGCGTTTCCATCCAACAAGTCAAATCGAACAAAATCGTAATTTTCTGATTAACTGGTGCCAATTATCAACTGTAAAGATGGAATTTGCTGCGGTAGGAGAACCTGCGTGAAAAACATCCTGTGGGTAAACTGGAGCTAGTGCAGGGGTGCTCAACCCTGTTGCTGGATATCTACCTTCCTGCAGATTTCAGTTGCAACCCATATCAAACACACCTGTTTGTAATTATCAAGTGCTGTTTAGGTCCTAATTATCTGGTGTATGCGTGTTTGATCAGGGTTGGGGCTGAACTCTGTAAGAAGGTCGATCTCCAGGAGCAGGGTTGAGCACTTCTGAGCAAGTGACTCTGTGCTCCATGATCAATGCGAACCCAGCATTAATTTTGCTTTTTAAAAATACCTCACATTAACTGATTATTAGACAATCTGTCTAGGTTGAGGTAGGGTGAAAAACATCACATGGGTAAACTAGAGATAGTGAGTCTGTGTTCCACGATTCATGTGAACCCAGCATTATTTTCTGGATGAGTTTCAGAAAGTTGAATTTGCATTATGATTCATTTTGCTGTTAGACATACCTCACATTAACTGATTATCACCTGTCTTTATGATGACTGCCTTGTCATACCTGTGACTGAACTCTTCTTCTTTATCTAGTTGGGCAGATCAGCAGGGTTTTAGTCTTGTTTATGACAAAACTGCCCTTGAATATCAAGAATGGGGTAATGAGATTTTTGGAAACAACAGATTCAGCCAATCCAACCGGTTAGTATAACAGGCTTTTTTCAACTAATATCTTTGTTTGATTAATAACTAACATCGAGCCTATGGAATAAATGAAGTAACTCTGCATTGATTATAAACCATTAATCATTCATGAGTCATGACACAGTTATGCTTATTGTGTGGTTATAAAAGCACATGCTTTGCCTAGTGAATATGCTGCAGTCTAGTTTAATAATCTGTTTGAATATACAGAAAATGCATACTGTAGATGTACATTTAGTCTGCTCGTTTGTTTCATAGGGCTCTCAAAAAGGTGTCAACAATATACGGCAATGCGCTGCATGAGAGAATGTCTCAGTATGGCCTTGGGATGTCTGAAGTGAATGATTTTCTAATTGACGTCGATGAGGCACTCACTGAATTATTAGGTGAACACATTGTAAACAATTTGAGGTAAGAACACAAATTTAAACTTAAACTTGATTGTTCAGCACTAGAAACACCAGAGGTGGGTAGTAACGAATTACATCTACTTTGTTACATTTACTTGAGTAAAATTGTTGGGTACATTTTTAGAGCAAAAACTTTAATAATAATAATAATAATTCCTTACATATATATATAGCTCTTTTTCTGGACACTCAAAGCGCTTTACAAACATTTTTTGGGGGGGAATCCCCTCATCCACCACCAGTGTGTATCCACCTGGATGATTAAATGGCAGCCATATTGCGCCAGACCACATGTTTTTTACTAAATTTGGCAGCGTTCCTTACTTAAATGATAATAAATATGACTTGTATGACTTGTTCGCAAAAATCTCGAGGCACAGTGTTAAAAAAGTTGTGTCACAAGTGGTTAATATAGAGATGCCTCTTCCTACTTTCCATTAGTTTGCATGCATGTGTTGAAATGATGGCTGAAGATGTGCGAGTTTATCGGAAGTTCAGTCTGTTTTCACTCCTAGATGTTAAAAAGAATAGTTTGATAATTTGATGCACGCTTAACATAAACACAAATTCCATCTGCTATTATGCCTATTTGAACCCTAGTAATGGTAATTTGTTGACTATGAGTGCTTTTAGCTCTACTCTTGTCCCAGCAGACAAACATCTCGTCAACACACAATCACGAACAAAGGTTTATTCTCAAGATTTTCATAACATCATGCATAACAACATACATACATAACAACAGCATATTCATAAGATTAAAAGTAACTAGTAAAGTGGAGTAATTTTTTTATTCAATACTAGTAGTACCATTACTTTTAGTCATGTAATTTTTTAAGATTGTAACTTTTACTTGAGAACTTGCCTAAGTACTTGTACTTTTTCTTGAGTATACATTTTGGATACTCTACCCAACTTGTTATTGGATTTCGAACACTATAGTTCTATTTTATCAATCTAAGTGCAAAGTCTAAAGCGCAGGGCGCAAAAGCATTAAGGGCATTTCTAAATCCACTTTTGCTGTTTTAAGGATGGAAACATATTGGGCCCTATCATACATATTTTCAGCTCAACGCAAGAGTCGTTTTGAAGTGTTGCACCACGCTGTTTAAATAGCAAATCCATTTAAGCTCATATATGCGCCCATAGGCGTTCTGGTCTAAAAAAGAAGTTAGGTGCATTGCTGGCGCGTTGCTGTTTTGAGGATTTGAAATAGACCGCTCAATAGACCAGCTAAGAGGAGGTCTAAAGTCCAGCACAGAGTGTGTCAGTTGTGCTCTTCGCTTAAACATTGCTTAATACACACAGGATGTACAGTAATACACAAATATCTTTACAAAAAAAAAAGGATTAAAATGTTACAAAAATTATTATTTTCTACATAAATATAAAAACCACTGCCTCCATGCCTTCTTCATCTCGTGGGGCTTTTTTCAGTCTATTCATAACTATCTGTTTTTGTATAATATTATTATTGGCAATATTATTTATTATATGCATATTTATATTTGTTTTATCAAAAACAAGCTTAGATTTGCCCACCTGTCAGGTTTTAGACCATATGGGGCACAGCATGTGTATTTGGAAATAACTCAGTTTTTTGATCACACTTTGTTATTATTGTTCATTTATTCGTTTGCTGGAAATTAGAACTGAATTTAGAAATAGTTTTGAAACAAATCTTTGTGCTTAACAAACAAGATCAATTATTTAGGCTAATAGATGTGTGTGCGTACAACACGTTTCCTTATCCACGGAAGAAAGTAAAAGTAAAGAATGAGGAGGCTCATTCTCGCATTCTACCGCTGCAGATGCTCTGTTTAACTGCTTTCTCACAATTAAAGTGTTCAGTTTTTACACTTACAAAGTCCGCCATGTAAATAGCAAATGTGCCATGGCACGATGCAACTGATTCTTAAATGAAATGGCAAATGAGACTGATTGGTTTATTCTCAAAACACACCTATAACTCATTAAGAGAATAAGTTCAACCCTCTTAGACCATGCTCTGCGGCGCAAAGTGGATTTTTCTGTCCTTAAAATAGCAAAAGTGGATTCGGACATAGCCCTAATGCTTTTGCGCCCTGCGCTTTGGACTTTGCACCAAGATCGTTAAAACAGAGCCCTTGATCTGCACCCTGGCGCATGGTCTAAGGGTTGTGCTTATTCTCTTAATGAGTTATGGGTGTGTTCTGAGCATAACATGCATTAAACCAATCAGAGTCTCATCTGACATTCCCTTTAAGAGACAGTTGTGTAGCACCATGACACATTTGCTATTTACATGGCGGACTTTGTAAGTGGAAAAACTGAACGCTTCAGTAGCAAGAAAACTGTTAAACAAACCATCTGCAGCGCGAGGATAAAGAACGAAACTCCTCCATTCAGCCTCTTTACTTTCTCTTTACTTTACCTTTACACTTTACTCCTTCACTTTCGTGAAATAAGGAAACGGTCAACACTCACTCCACTGAAGAAGTCCATTAGCCTACATATTTAATTTTGTTTGTTTAGCGCAAAGATTTGTTTCAAAGCTATTTCTGAATTCAGCTCTAATTTGCAGCAAACGAATAAATGAATAATATTAATGAAGTGTGATCAAAAAACTGAGTTCTACTAAACACACGTCCTATTCTTATGCCCATATGGTGATACAGACGTCTCCAATACCCGACAAGTGGACGAATCTTGTTTTTATTAAAACAAATATGAACATGCATATAATAAACAATACTGCAAATATCAACATTATACAAACGCAAATTGTCATGAATAAACTGAAACCCCCAGTTTTAATTAATCCGGAATCATGCACGTCTAATACTTCTTCATCAGCATTAGATCATTAATTGAGTCATTTTTTATGTCCTCCAGGAGGCTGGGTTCTGAATTATGGAATTATTTTAATAGTGAAATTTTGCAAGTCTCCAAAAACAAAAAAAGCCAGCTGACATCAGATGAGGATCCACTGCAACAATTGCGGTAAGATACGCATTAAGCTCATTCTGAAAACGTACCCTTATATACAATTCTGGAGATTGCGAGTTATGTAGCCAGAAGTACGTATGGCTGCATTTTGTCTTTAACACGAATGATAACGGGCGGTATGACACCATTCCTTTTCGAGGTAGCAGCTGACCACTTACCTCCATTTGTACGACTTTCCTGCTGTTTGTCCAGTGGCTTACAGCGTACATCGACAGACTAGAGACACTGAAAAGAATTGACTGTGATGACAGGCTTCGAGTCCAGTGAAGAGTGGTTTCAGAAAGAAAGAAAGACAAAAACAAAAGCCAAAAAATAAAATAAACATGTAAATAATAAGGTGAGCATATGGTAAAATTTTGAAAACGAGGTACAATCAGGCAAGGGCTTTTGTTTTTCTGGATTGCTTTTCAAAACACTGCAGTTAGGTTTAGGAAAGTTGGTGTTTGGAAGATCGGTCTGTTGGTCAGACAGTCAGTCAGTCGACAGCGGCCTCTGGTGGATTTATGTGAGAAGAGCAGGCACAAATAGCACTAATGAGAGAAATCTAAGATCTCAAAAAGCGTACACAGCAGCTTCTGATGGATTCGCGAAAACAAAAACTGCAAAAAAAAACTCCTCGGACGTATTTGGCGCTCTCCAAAAATGTATATAGGGCTACATTTTCAGAATGAGCCTGAAAGTACCATCATTTTAGATGAAGAGAAAAAATGTATTGCAATATAAAACTGATCTCTAATCACTTTCTCTGTTGATTTTTTGCAACAGTAAAATTAAAGAAGCGTGCTTTGACGTCTGGGACAGAGTTCTCTTTGAGATCAACAAACATGTTAACGATGATGGACTTGAACAGTCAGTCAGGTAAAGTGATGCAGAAATTTATTACCAGATCTAATCCTAAATGTTTAGCCTTGTAAAAACATTTTTTATTTTAATTTGGAATGTTATGACACTGGAGCTAGTAATGATTTTTAGGCTTCATTTTTGTTGTTCTGACATTTTAAAGGTCCCATGAAATTAAAATAAAGTTTTTTTAGATGTCAGCATTAGTATTGTTTGTTGTTAAGATATTTACAAGCTAGTGTGCTCCAAAACAATTAAAAAAATGTCACGTTTGTAAGATATAAACTAATATAAACTTGATATAAAGCTTGTAGTTTGTCACTTCTATTTAAATAGATCAACGGTTTTATTCACGTCACCTCATACTACAGTTTCTCATTAAACCTTGACCAATCAGATGTGCACAAGTATTTGACATGCCCCGCCCCCATCAAGACACTTGTCATTTGCTTTTCATTTGATGCGCTTGAGATCAACCGCTCTCACTGGCAGAGCGGTGATAAAACAAAATGCTTTTGGCTTATTTTAAAAAGGGGAGGAGCTACACTATGTGCCACCCTCTCTTCGTGTTTCGGTTGAGATTATGTTAATCATTAAATAAAAATAAAAATTTCAAAGCACTTCATGGGACCTTTAATTTTGTAACAATATCTGCGATCATTTAAACTATATTAAAGAGACAGCTATTAGTTCAATTGAATTGATAAATGAAGGACATTTTTACTTCATTTTTCATAGGGATTTTCAAGAAGTGATGAGAGTTTTCATTCAAGAATTAGCAGGCAGTGGACAATTAACAGAAAGAAAGCTCGTTGAAGCAGAAGAGTAAGGAAAGAATTCTTTATTTAACTATTTGTAAAAATAAAAGCTGCAAATATTGTACATTTAATGCAATCTCACAGCAATTCGTAACTTTTTGAATTAGTGGCTAATTCGTATTAATTTATATGATCTCATTCTAATACAATTTGCTCATCGTCCAATCAGGAGTAGGGTTTGGGGATATGACTTTAAAAAAAAAACATAAATTTTCATGCAAACTCAATCATATGAATTCGTACATATACTGTAGACCCTTTTCACAATTCCAGGTTTCTCAGTTTCCGAAGTCGTCATAGTTGGGAAAACTTAGAGCGTGGTGAATGGGAGAATACAACAAATAATTGTTTTACAATCTTATTTTCTCAAATAATAAAAAAAAAAAAAAAAACGTCATGATGATGTTATAAAGACTTTCAGAAAAAGGAAAAAACAAATTGTGTGAGGGCAGCCGGAGAAGAGAATAACATCCAATTTACTGCCTTGTCCCATAGACGCTGCATTAGAAATGCCTCGCACAAGCAGTAATTCGTTTTTTGTAACTTGAAGCAAAAATGATATAATACACACATAAATACATAGAAATGTTCATATGTTTTTTTTTTTTTACATCTAAATGTTAAAAACTTTCAAGGACGCGTCAAACGCGTCATCACAGGCTTGTGAAAAGGGTCTATTAGCCACTTTTCTGAAATAGTTACGTTTCATCGTGAGATCTGGCTGCTGTATTTACTTTAATAGAAAAGAAAAAAAATGGAGTAGATGTATTCTATGTTTTCATTTAACCTTATGCTCTTTATTAATTATGTTTTCTTCATGGTTGTAAAGGACCCTTCTCAGTTTCAAGCAACTCATCTTCGACAAATATGTAAATAGGGTTGATGGTTTGGAGCGAATGATCAATGATTCGGCAATGTAAGACCTTGCGCTTTATATTGAATGTTATATGATTAGTTGTTTACAATATACTCCAAAGCAGCATTGGATGAAGAAATGAAGTTGCTAACGTTTTTGTTTTGTTCTTTCAGAACTCTTGCCAAAGTGATGCTAAAGACTTTTTCTGCTACAAATACTCTCCTGGTTAATTATCTGGCATTTCTAATGTCTGATTGATTTTCCAATGTAATTACAAATTGCTCAAGTCATAACTGGAAGGATAATAAGGACAACTCTTGCTTATCCTTAATAAAAGAATACATGAAAGCAGGAGTTTTCGTGTTTTTCTTGGCATTATGCTGAAATCAGACCTGATAAACGCTGACCTGAAGGCTGTTTTTATAGTGAGGAATCGGATCTGTTGCTGATTCCCAAGATTTATAGTTGATCATTTATTTCAAATTATACACCATCTGTATTAAATTTCTGTTCATTTATGATTGTATGACTTCTTATTTTAAATGTGGTGTAATGGATTAACAGGGTTCTAGTCCACTTTGGCATGAGATGGCAGCATTGAGTAAAAGAAAGTGTGGCAAGCATCTGCTCGTGGCTTTGCCAAGTCAGCAAAATAAGAAAAAAATCAACATTCATCAATACTTGACTGCCCTTGCTTGTGCTTTTACTGTGCATTTAATCTTTTCACTTGTGCTTTGAGCTGTTAAAAGTGTCTTTGATGAGAGCAAGAATCATATTTCAGTTAGTAAAAGGTTAAGATATGCTTCTAGTGTCATTCTCCCAGGCATAAAAATAAAACAGATATACTTCTTTAGTAGTTTTTAGAGAATGACCATTGAAAGATTATTGTATTGATGATTTACACACATCTTTAGGTATACCTGTTTAACAGCTTGTTATCTCAAACATTTTACCAGTCAATTTTAGTGCATTCAGTCATGTAGACGTGATCAAGAGGATCTGCTGAAGATCAAACTGAAAATCAGTTTCAAAATGGCGAAGAAAGGCAATTTCAGTGACCTTATATATATACAAATGCTTCAGAAAATGGTCAGAGGACAACGGCCAGACTTATTTAGACCCATTCCCAATTCTACCCCTTTGCCCTTCCCCTTACCCCTACTCCTCGTTTTGCACGTTCACGTGGAGGGATAGGGGTTACCCAATTCTCTTTATATTGAAGGTGTAGGGCTAAGGGAATGGGCTATAGATAACCCTCAAAACTGAGATTTTCTAGGACCACACTACACTCTCAGAAATAAAGGTACAAGATCGGTCACTGGGGTGGTACCTTTTCAAAAGGTACAAATTTGTACCTAAAAGGTCCATGATAATACCTCAAGGGTACATATTACTACCTCAAAAGTACAAAATTTTTCCTCTTAGAATTTTTGGGTACTAATATATACACCCGAGATATTATTATGGAGTTTGTACCTTTTGAAAAGGAACCTCCCCAGTGACAGATTGTGTACTTTTGTTTCTGAGAGTGTAGAAACCGAGGGAAACAAAAATCTCTCAGAGTACACCAGCTACAATACCCCAGGCTGACCATTTATACAATTATACAAGTGAACATTGAAAAAGTTTCCCAAGACAGATAAGTCTCAATTTCTGCTGGGACATCTAGATAGTAGGGTCAGAATTTGGCATAATCAACATTAAATCAGTGGTTCAGGCTACTTGTGGTTATTAACAGTACCAACAAAGCACCACTTGTACACCACGGTGGGTGTCAAGTATTGTTTCTCTCCATGTGCATCCTTTTATGACCACAGTTTGCACAGTATTCTGATAGCTACATCTTACAGGATAACTTGCCATGTCTCAAAGCTCAGAAAAGCTCAAACTGTTTACATTTATTTAAATGGCCTCCACGATCATCAGATCTCAATCCAAAAGAGCACTTTGGAAATAAAAGGTTTGCTTCATGAATGTGAAGCTAATAAATAAGCAAGCAGTAACTGTGTGAAACCATCATGTTTGTACGGACAACAATCTCGTATGAGTGTTTCTAGCACTTTCTTGAAATCATTGTCATGCACCTATTGCATCCATTTCACCTCATTTAATGAGCCACCAACCTCCAGCAGAGGGTGCTAAAAATCTTCTAACGCCACCTGCACCGCGTGGACTACAAAATAGAGCGTCTTTCTTGGCCGCCATTATAGGCACAAATTAAAACAATGCCATCTGACCTTATCTGCTTTTTGTCACAGGTTATGATTTGTAATAATGTTTCATGTTGATGTGTAAGCCGGATTCCTGAGCATAATTACAGACACTCACAGCTCCCACATAGCTGAGACGGTCTGCTTTGGACCCGGGTGTTTCTATTGCATCAGCTCACCTCTGTTTGCAGTACTGTCACAGTGACTGATTTGTTTGGAGACCAAGGGGAAAGCAGAGGAGCTGAGAAAATGAGCATAAAGGCGACAAAAGGCAGATGTACAAGCAATTTCAAATGAGAGAAAAAAAGCTTTATCAGCACTATGGCGATGCATGTGTACACCTGTGTTTGTGGAGGAATTAAATCAGTTAGAAAACAACACATGAGGGCAACCTATCATATGTGTCCCTTGTTATGTTGTACCTATCATACAGTATGATGTCAACAAAAAATTGGTCCTGCTTTATATTAGGTGGCCTTAACTACTATGTACTTACACTGAAATTAATCAGTTGTTACAATTTACTTAACTGTGTAAACACATGTTATTACATTGTACTTATGATTGAGCAAATACTTGCATGTAATTACATCTGTATTTAATATTTTCTAAACCTACCAAAACCACCAAACCTGTCCCTATAACACTAACCGTATCCCACCTCAAGAGCACCAGAAGTGTTCCTCGATACTTTATGAACACAGTAAGTACATTGTGTTTATTGTTTGAAGCAAGTACATAGTGGTTAAGGCCATCCAGGGGCGGATTTAACCAATAAGCATGATAAGCGGCCGCTTAAGGGCCTAGGAAATGTGAGGGCCCCAAATAAATACCTAAAAGTATAAATTATACCTATAAATGATATATAACATCATATTCTATCAAATTTTGTATAATGTTTATTACATCTGGGCAAATGTATCCCCCACCAACAATCATAGTGAAGTCCAGCAGTCAAATAAGATAAAGATTTAGGTGGACTTCCGGCTAGGTGAGCTATGGAGTAGGACGTGTTCACTGGGGGGTCCTGCAGAATTTGCTATTTCTTCTGAATAATGCACATTTTATCTAAATACCTAGTGCCTGCAGATTATTGTGCCTAACAGAGTTCATTTTAAAATAATTCTGTGCAACAAAGATGAAAACTAAAGGCAATAAAGAGGCTAACACGCAGCCATCGCAACAGCAGCCAATGACAGCTAATGCATCCTCAGATGAACGTGATGCGGTCGAGGGGGCGGGGGGTCAACAAACTAAGCTCGATATGGATTCAGGCGACATTTCGACTCTTAAAACTGAAATAATTTCATCGCTATTATTATTAATTATTGGTGCAGTCATTCATTTCTGTTTATTTGATGACTAGTCTAGTTTTGGCCTATTTTTAGGGGTCTATTAGATATTCATTGACAGCCCAAATTTAGCATTGTTTTAGCCAAGACCACAGAGGTCTATTAGACATCTTTTAAAAACCAAAAAATGCTTGTTGGGATATTTTCTTACATTATTCTGATAATATAATATGTAGAATGTATGTAGAAGTCATGAACACACTTGTCTGTAGGGGGAGAAGTTTGACCGTTTTCTGACGTTTATTATTCAGAGTCATTTTTCCCATAGGTGACTAAATCGGAAACGAGAGCACTTCTGCATTGCAGAATAAGGTCAATAAAGTAAGACCAAGATTTGTAAGTAAATTACTGTATAGTGTAGCTTATCTAAAATAGGAAAGCCTTGATTGGAAAAGCTTGATTGGCTAGCCGAGGTGAGTTTGATTGGTATTGGAGCTAAAATCTGCAGGACACCGGACCTCCAGGACCGAGATTTTGAACTCCTGATCTACAAGGAATGGTTTAATTCCCACAAGAACTAATTAATGTGTTGATCTCTTGTGTTTTAGTGATTTAAAAAAAAAACAACAAATCTAGATGATGATATTGGTGCTAATATGGAATTGTGCAATGGAGTTTCCACTGTCTGGTTTTCTTAAAAAGTTTCCAAAAAACACAACCAGTACAAAATACTGCTTCTTTTTGTTTTCACACTTCACTGTAAAAAAAATCTGGTTGTCTACGGGGTCTTAAAAAGTTTTAAAAGCTGATAAACCAATTGTGAAAAAATTAGGGCCCTAATTTACAGTATTATAGATTATAAAAAGTCTTAATCATGTTTTTCGAGGTCTTAAATTTTGTTCAAGTGTTGTCCAAAAAAGCCAACCCGGGCTCATTGTGGAAACGTAGTCCCGCGGACGTTTCTGGAGACTGCGGAATACGTCCCGGCCGGTACGTACGGCTGCAGTTTTTGTTTTCGCGAATCCGCGAGAGGCTGCCGTTGTGCGCTTTTTCTCATCTCGAACATCTCTCGCGAGCGCGGTTCACACCCGCGCTGTTCTCGCATCAACCCGCCAGAGGCCGCTGTCCGACTGACCGAATGATTGACTGCGCGACCGGCCAATCGGCTGACCGCCCTCCTCTTTCCCTCAACCCAACCAATTTCACCGATCGACCCTCCCGCCCGCTCGCTTCCCTGAACCCGAGCAACGGTTTACAAAAGCCGTCCAAAAAAATTAAAAGCCCTGATTTTTTATTTTTTAAAATTTTTTATCCCACCTTGTTTTCAGATTTCGCTGCGTTCTCGCCCTGTCATGAAACTCGTTCACTTAATTTTTGGGATTCTGTTTTTGTCTTACCTGATTGCTGGAACTGCTCTCTCCCAGACTCGAAACCGATCGCCGTGGTCGACTCCTCCTCTCCGCATCTCTCGAGCCTGCCGACGTTACACGGTGAGCTGAGTGGACAAACGGATTGCAGCGGGAAAGCCCTCCACAAGGAGGTGAGCGGTCAGCCGGCGAGCGCGAAAGGGGAACAGCGTCACACCGCCCCGCAGCGTTCGCTTGAAAAAAAATAAATGCAGCAGTACGTACCTCGCGGGACGTATTCCGCTGACTCCAGAAACGTCCGCGGGACTACGTTTTCAGAATAAGCTTGGGTTGAAAAAAGCATAAATAAATTTATTTTCCTCCTAATTTTAACAACGGCGTGCTTGATCCATACGATTGATTTGGGTCAGGGCTCATTCGCAACTTAATGTCAGGTAATTCATAACAAACGCCAGAAGGTGATGTGGCGCTTTTCAAATGTA